CCAGTCCTATTAATGAAAATGAAAATATTTAAAATAATATACTCCAGATGTATCCATAGTTATACCTCTCTACCTCTGCTGAAAATTTTCAAAAAGTGTATAAACAAAGAAATTTAGGGCATGGGACTCAGAGAAGAAAAACATTTAGTTTTGAATCCTGTTTGCTTCACTCATTCTTAGTGTAGTATGAGGCAATTTCTTAGAATCTTTGAGATTTAGGATTATCAACTGAGGGATTCCTCACCAATACAGAACCACTGGATTGAGTCTAAGCAAACATCCTCACCCTCAATGCAATAACTATGATGGATGCACAAAGAAAGGAAAAAATACAATTTGATTTTGTTACTAAGGCTATTTGTCATATCATCAGATTTAAATATCTCTAAATCTGATTTCCTTACATCCCTGTCAAGACATTTTATTTTTGTTTCTACAAGTACATTCTTCCTAGACTAAGAGAACTGAGTGAGGCTCATTAATTTCTGATTCCCCAAAACCTGTATCTTGTTGGTGCAGAGGAGACACCAAGGATAAAAATACCCAGTTAAGTGTTGAGTAAACTCCTTTTTTTCATAGAAACAACACGTGAGCAATATGGTCCGCACGGTGGACCATTTATGTCAGTGTTTTCATCCTTTTCAGAAAGTCCCACAGGACTACAGAAAAGTTAAAACATTGGTTGTTTCTGTCTATTTCATGGACTTTGAGACTTGTTATTTTCCATTTAATATCATCGGCAGCATTCAATCATTGAGAAGTCATTGAAGAAATTTTGATGAATATGGGGGGAAAAGAGTTAGAAAAGAAGAGAACATGCACATTTTAACTCATGTGCCTAGCCATATTTTAGGATTTGATGTTATCTGTGCTCCACCTCTGAGATAAGAAAGGCTTTGATCTCTCTGCCATATACTCCATGATACATCATTACATTTGGGGTGTTGTATTTAATTAATAAACATGCACATGTACTAAGTCACTTCAGTTGTGTCCAACTACTTGTGACCCCATGGACTGTCACCCACTAGGCCCCTCTGTCAATGGAGTTTTCCAGGCAAGAATACTGGAGTAGGTTGTCAAGCCCTCATCCAGGGGATCTTTCTGACCCAGGAATTGAACCTGCATCTCTTATGTATCCTGCATTGGCAGGCAGGTTTTTTACCACTAGCGCCTCCTGGGAAGCACTATTAATAAATACATTATCTCAATAATGATTAAAATTCTTTATACAGATGACCAAATATTTATTAAGTTTCCAACTTCCCTCTGGTGCCACATATACTCTAGAGTGGGTGTTAGATCTTCATGTCCAAGAAGAGAAGCACAGAGAGCTTGAGATAATTGCACATATTTCACTTACAAGGATGAAAGACCCAGGACTCAATCACTGATATGCTTTTTCCTGCACCAGCTCTCAGTCATCTCCACTGTAGCTAATACATTTATTTTCAAACCCACTTGGCTCCCATAGGTGAAAGGAAGGTAGATAATTACTTCATCCTCTTTTGGTTCAGTGAAAATCTGTGAATCATGGGACTGAGGTCGCAGTTTACAGAGGTCATAATGGCACTAACATGGATGACTATAAGGTTTTCAATGAATAGTCATGCAAATTGCAGTCTAGCTTTGAAATTTAAGGTTGAGAAGATTTCCTATACAAGGAGAAAATGGCATGGATGCAGTCGACAGAATATTACTTTTGCACTGAAACAAGTACATGGAATTAGCTTCCCTGTGGCTCAGACAACAAAGAATCGACCTGTGATACAGGAGGCCTAGGTTTGATCCCTGGGTTGGGAAGATCCCCTGCAGAAGGAAGTGGCAACCCACTCCAGTATTCTTGCCTGGAGAATCCCATGGACAGAGGAGTCTGGTGGGCTCCAGTCCATGGGGTCGCACAGAGTCGGACACACCTGAGCATGCACATACCAAACTGGTTATGCACCCACTGTGAGAACTTAACTAATTACCACTCACATGTTATGTGCTAATTTCCATTTGTCTGAAACAAAGAAAGGTACAAGAATTTTCATTGGATTGTTGTAAGCAGAAACTGATATAAATAAAAATAATATATGTAATGTAAACTAAATATTTATTTAATATATAAAATATATCAAATTATATATTACTGCACTTAAATGTGTTAAATTTGTTAAAGTGAAATTAATTTATATAAATATAAATTTACCAACTGAGGAAAATGGTGTCTTTCCTTATGTAATAATGTGTGTCAGGAAATTTGTTTGTTGTAGTTGTATGTACTTCACAAGAGACTTAACCAAAATGGTGTGGTAACGAAGTGCATTAAGAGGCAATATGGATATTATTTTATTTAGGGAAGATTTTTTAAAAGCTGGTTGTATGTGTGTTAGTCGCTCCATCTTGTCCGACTCTTTGGGACCCCATGGACTGTAGCCCATGAGGCTCCTCTATCCATGGAATTCTCCAGACAAGAATACTGGGGTGGGTTGCCATTTCCTTCTCCAGGGGATCTTCCTGACCCAGGGATTGAACCCAGGTCTCCTGCATTGCAGGCGGATGCTTTACTGTCTGAGTTACTACAGAAACCCTAAAAGCTGGTTAGGGATATGCAAATGAATGTTGACATTATGAAAACATTTACAAGAAAATATATATGTCAAGTTAATCACACTGGTTGCTTTGAGGACGTGTATGCAGGGAAGTGGGATTGAACTGAGGTCTCAAGAGAAGTTAAATTTTATCATTAATGTTTCAAATTTTTATGATATGTGGGATCTGAAGAAATATTATTAAATGTTTATATTTTAAGAATAGGTGTGTTATTAGGACAGTGTTAATCAATAATATTCATGGAGATTTTTCTAAGTGTTGGGCAATATTCATTCTAAGGCAGTGTTGATCAAGCCCTGGTTCACAGAAGGGAGACCAAGATACTCACCTATAGAGATCCTGAAATTGGTTCTAGGCTGAGGTCAGGGTAACTAAGCACTTTTAAATAAGCACATGTAAGTAATTGATGAAATGGAACTGAAAATCACTGGTCTAATCAATGTAAATGATTTTTAAAACTTTCTTGCAATGGTTCTATTGGTAGGTTCAATTACTATCACAATTTCATAGATAAGGAAACTGCTCAGATGTGTTTGCATTATTCTATTTAAATCTTTTTCACAACACATTCCCTTGTCATTGCAATATTTTTTGAAATAGAATATGGATATATGTCTGTTGACAGTTGAACAGGTAAAGAAAATGCAGAATGTATATAAACAATGGGATATTACTCAGCCATGAGGGGAGATATACTTAGAGAGGAATCAACATGAACCCTCTGTTAAATTTTTTTTGTTCTGTGTTACATTTATGTTTTTAATTAATTTACTTATTTTAATGGAAGATAATTAAAATATTGTGATAGATTTAGCCATACATCGACATGAATCGGTCAAAGTTACACATGTACAACCAACAAGGACTTTTTGTATAGCACAGGGAACTCTGCTCAATGTTATGCGGTAGTGTGAAGGGAAGGGGATTTTGAGGGAGAATGGGTACATTTATATGTATGGCTGAGTTCCTTTGCTATCTGTCTGAAACTATCACAACATTGTTAACTGACTACACCCCAGTATAAAACAAGAAGTTTTTAAAAAGAGCTGTAGTTGTGAGGACTAGTGGTGGAGAAGGTAGAGAAATGTTGCTCAAAGGATATAAACTTTTGCCATAAAATGAATACATTCTGGGGATCTAATATGCAGTCTGATGACTATAGTTAATAATTTTGTACTGTGTTCTTGAAATCTGCTATGAGAGGTTTGTTTAACATATGCCACATATACGCAAGCAGAAATAGAAGCTATGTAAGGTGACATATACATTAATTAATTTGATTGTAGTAGTCACAATTTGTATTGTAGTAAATCGTCACTTTGTACATTTTTTCAAAAGCTTCATGTGGCAAAACCCAAATATAAGCAATTTTGTCAATCATGTCAATAAACTGAAAAAAAAGAGAAAAACAATAAAGGAGTACTAGTTCACCAGCAAAGAATGGACTTCAAAAAATGTAAAGTGGTCTCACACATTAAACATTTAACTGAGTTAGTATGGAAACAAATAACACTGTATAAGATAAAAAAAAATTTCAAGAACATTTCTAAAATTTCATTATCATTTAATCATTGACAATGCTCTGTATGCTAATGCCATAATTATAGTCACCAATGCTGTATGATCACGTGCACTGAATTAAAGCATACAGATCGAATTTTTAAGTCCACCAAAGTCAAATGAAGTGTATACTAAATGATTTTTAAAATGCAACACTGATAATTGAGTACTCACTTCTTTCATGAAGGAAGGAAGACAGGAAAACCAATAATAAAACTTTGAATACAACCTAAATATGTTTTCTGATTGTGAACATTCATTTTTAGTTTAGAATCCAGATGAACAATTCCTTCTTTTCATAGAGATATAAAAATATTCCAAATAAAGGAAATAACTAGAATTGAATTTAAATAAAATAAGACTTATATAAATATGTTCAATTTCTTTGAACTATATTTTTTCTTAAAGGGGGAAGGGAATTTCTCTTTCTGTATTCAAAAGAAGTAATCTGTATTTAACTGAGATCATAGATATATTACCTCTAATGTTCCTGTTCCCTTTCACTTTTCTGTGAAGTTTTATGATCTAAGAGTTTATAAACAGATGTGTATAACAGAAACCAAGGAGGAAAATTTCTAAGTGAATAGAATTTGTCACAGTGAGAAATATTTCTGGAGGAACAAGAGTGTATAATCTTAGAAATAAATTGCTTGAATCCAAAATACGAACACAGTGCTCAATGCCCATTTACTTACTTCCTTTGTTTCCAGATCTCTTTTCTTTTTCCAAAGGTGTCCAAGATACACAAAACTGGAAATCTAACAAGCATCTCAGAATTCTTCCTCATGGGACTCTCAGATGATCCAGAATTGCAACCTTTGCTCTGTGTCCTCTTCCTGTCCATGTACCTGGTCACTGTGCTGGGGAACCTGCTCATCATATTAGCCGTCACCTCTGACCCCCACCTCCACACCCCCATGTACTTCTTCCTCTCCAACCTGTCCTCGGTTGACATAGGTTTCATCTCCACCACAGTCCCCAAGATGATTGTGGACATCCAATCTCACAACAGAGTCATCTCCTATTCAGGCTGCCTGACTCAGATGTCTATGTTTATCCTTTTTGCGTGTATGGATTGTATGCTTCTTACTGTGATGGCCTATGACAGGTTTGTGGCCATCTGTCACCCACTGCACTATGCGGTCATCATGAACCCGCACCTCCGTTGCTCCTTAGTTTGGGTGTCCTTTTGTGTTAGCCTTTTGGACTCCCAGGTGCACAATCTGATTGTGTTACAAGTTACCTGTTTCAAGGATGTAGAAATTTATAGTTTCTTCTGTGATCCTTCTCAACTGCTCAACCTTGCTTGTTCTGACACTTTTACCAGTAACATAGTCAGCTATACCATCGGTGCCATGACTGGTTTTCTCTCTATCTCAGGAATCATTTTCTCTTACTATAAAATTCTTGTCTCCATTCTGAGAGTCCCCTCATCAGGTGGGATGTACAAAGCCTTTGCCACCTGTGGTTCTCATCTGGCAGGTGTTTGCTTATTTTATGGAACAGCCCTGGGTGTGTACCTCAGCTCAGCCATCTCACAGTCTCCCAGGAAGGATGCAGCAGCCTCGGTGGTGTACACTGTGGTCACCCCCATGCTGAACCCCTTCATCTACAGCCTAAGGAACAAAGACCTCAAAAGGGCCTTGTGGAGGTTCCTGGCAGCACAAACTCAACTTAGGACCTGGCAACCCATTTGAGAGTATACTAGAAAATGTAGCAAAACTAAACCTGGAGATCTAAAAATTCTACCTGTCTCATGACACCATTTTTATAGCTCTTATGGCCTTCATGTCTCTCCTCACTTTCTACCTGAATATTACTTCTCTTTATGGTTTATCCCCCTGCCAGTGCAGGAGACACAAGAGACACAGGTCCAACCCCTGAGTCCAGAAGATCCCTGGAGGAGAAAATGGCAACCCACTCCAGTATTCTTGCCTGGGAAACCCCATGGACAGGGGATCCTTGTGGGCTACAGTCCGCGGGGTTGCAAAGAGTGAAACAAGACTGAGCACACGCACACACACACATGGTTTAACATGACAGTGGGGAGTTCTAAGAGCCTTTTTGTATCAAAATCTCTCCTTGAATGAATCTCATTATATCTATGGAGATTCTATATTTTATCTTTGGTAGCCCAAGCATCCTCAAAAGATGAACAATTTTCCCTTAATATATCAAAAGTTTACAAATTTCCAAGCTCTTATATACTTTCAATAATAAATTCTACTATTCAAATCTGTGCATGCTGTTATGTGACCTATGTCACCGCTTCTCAGCCTTGGCTTTTATTGCAATCTTCTGGGAAGTTTAAAATACCGACCACTGGGTTTCACCCCCAGAATTTCTGATTCAACTGAATTTGGGTGTGATCCAAGCATGAGAATTTTAAAAAGGGCTCAGGTGGTTCTAGCATGTGCCCAAGATTGACAACTACTGATCCAAGTCAAGCCTCTCTTTCAAAGGTGAAGTTTATGCCTTGAGTCCTAATGTTGTTCATGGACAAATGCTGAAGATCCAAAAGAGATCACAAGTCAAAGGGGGAAGATATGAAGACCCTGATGTGGTAACAAGCAATTCATTTTGCCCATTATTTCCAATAAATTTATTCACATAGCTTCTCTATGTTGTACACCTGGCCTTTGCTTTAGGGTGGGGTGTTTGAAATCACGTTCCATCTTGTGGTCTATGTTCCATCAATGTCCATCTTGTGTTCATCTTACATACATTCAACAGTGGTCTGTATATATCTCTTTGCTCTAAAAGTTCAATGGGTCCCTTTATACCCCTCCAGCCCTTGGTGAAGTAGCTTCCTCCTTCAGTTATGATCACTATAGTACCACTTTTTTCTTCCTTGTCTTTCAGTCTTTCAATACTTTTTAACCAACTCTCTATATTAAATGTTCCTCTGTAAACAGCTATTTGGTTTCTATTGATTTTTTGACTGAACTTTTACTGATACTGTAGCATGGACTATAAAATACATTGTATGGTGCCTTCAGTCACATGATTACAAAACATGCACAGGTAAGAAGGGTGGTTATCCAGAATATGTCTTAGTCATGGGTAACCAACTGGAAAATAGGTGATGATATTATTTTTCCAATTACACATGGCTCTAATGATGCCTAAAGGTTATTAAATCACCCAAGTCATCACAACAAATGTATCTTCTTTTATGTTACTGTAGGATTGCAAAGGACCATATTGTCAGAAAGGGGAGTGTTTCCTTTGAGCAGTGGTATCCTGGTTAGGACTTCACCATGCTTCCCTGTCTTCAGTCAGGATAACTTAGTCTTTGGGCTCCTTTTGTTTTCTACAAGATGGGTTTCCAATATTTCTTAGAGATGTCACACATCATTTTTGCGGTGGTTAGCTTGGTGTTCTGAAAGCTTTCCATAACTAGATTAATTTGCTTTGCATTTTCCAACCAAGGATAAACTGTTATCGACTGAATTGATAAGAAACATGAATAGTAAAGAAGGAAATCCATGTAACAGAAGATGAATTCATATTATTCAGTGGTAAAAGATATAACCCATTAAAATTACTAGTACTTTTAAAATATCATATTAAATATATGTCCTAAAATATTTTATTTATTCTCCATTCATCCCAGCCAAATGATAGGCAAGGAACCTTGGAAAAGGACAAAGAAAGGTTGCTTTTATGTGTATACAGTTTAATTTCAAGTGTGTTCTGTAAAATTTTCTAGCTGTTGCTTTCAGACTGCACCATCTTAAAATTTCTAAAGATAAGTGAACATATGAATTTTTCAATTTGAGTATATTATAATAGAATATACACATTTGAGTATTAGACTTTCTACAACATTTATGAAATGCCTTTCCATGATGTACACCATTGGTAAGATGAGAGTAAATACACTTACAAGACAAAATTTGGTGAAATTATTGCTATATTTAAAAAGGATAACCAACTAGGACCTACATGGAACTATGTTCAATGTCATGTTGCAGCCTGGATGAGAGGGGAGTTTGGAGAATAGTACATGTATTTGCATGGCTGAGTCCCTTCACTATTCACCTGAAACTGAAAAGATGCTGGACTTCTTGGCCTCTGGAGAAGAAGAATTCAATCCAGGGCCAGAGACTTGATCGCTCAGAGCTTTTGTGTAATAGAGTTTTATTAAAGTATAAAAGGGATAGAGAAAACTTCTGACACAGACATCAGAAGAGGGCAGAAACAGTGCCCCCTCACTAGTATTAGCAATGGAATTTATATACTTTTAATTAGTTGTTACAGTGAAGCAAAAGAATGTCTGGAGGTGGTAAAGACCTTACTAGACCCACTCCCATAATTTACATTTTAAGATAACAGGATTAGCCAGAAGGTTTCTTCCAGAGACTGTTCTCAAGCAGGATATATTATTGTTATATAATCCTAGGGAATGTAGAGGGAAAGAAAAAAAAAAGTTTGTCCTTTCCTCCTCCTTGAGAATTAATCCAGATCCCTCTCTCCTTGGAGACTCCCAGACTTATCAACCTGCCTAGGAATTGACTCTCTCATTCCCCCATTTTCTTTTAGGAGAATTATGTTGCCAAGGGAAAGGAGTGTCATTTTCGTTCCATAACTACTTCCCTCTGTTTAGGGGCGTAGTCCCTAAATTGCTGAGGCAACATATTCTCCTAACCCTCATACTGAGTGTCTCTGATCCAGGAGCCCCAAGTAATAGTTGGAGGAGGCTGTGGCACTTGTAGGAGTTTGGACAACCATTTGTAACTTAAAAGCTTTCAGGTGGTTAGAAACAAATCCTATTACACAGTTACAGATGTAAGGCAAAATAGTCATTAAATCAAGTTAAAATCAAAATTAAAAGTCCCATTATGTCCATAGCTACATCAGCCCATCTTAAGATTGTTAGATGTCATCACAGAGTTGAAAGTCCTTTCCTTGAAGTGGAGAAACCCACCATAGGAAGTCTTCCACTTGATGAGGAAGGGAGTGCTCCGCAGACCCAGCAGTTAGACTGATTGTGGAAGGCAGTGTAGGAGTGAGCCCAGGACAGGAAGACATTCTCTTGAGGGTCAAATGGCAGACTCAGGACCTTTGGAGTCAGCAGAAGTAAGCACACATAGATTATCAGGCTCATCTGAAAAGTACAAAGCAAGAGCATAGAAATTAAGGACATAAAATGAGGTCACTTAGTTCTGGTCAGAGTGCCACCTCTTAACTCGAGTGTGATGCACCCATGAATCAATTCCTGGCACTTTGACAGCTGTGGGAGAAGAGAGAATAACCTGGTAAGGGCCTTCCCAGAGGGGCTCAAGAGATTGGCCCCCAGGTCCAATGTTTTTATCAGGACCTCGGTTCCTGGCTCAAACAGAGGCTTGCTTGACTCAGAGGCCAGGTCAGGAGTCACCTCCTGAAGTTCCATTAATGCCTGTTGAAAAGCTGAGAGCTGAGTTACATAATTAGCTAATTCTAAGGCTTTGGAAAACTTTTCCATTGAGCATTTTCAGGAATTAGTAATCATCCATTTGTGGACTGTAACCATCCTTCATCAGTAATCTTTCCTCCTCCTTGAGAATTCAAGATCTCTCTCTCCTTGGGGACCCCTGGACTTCTTATCAAACTGCCTAGGAATTAGCTCTCTCAAAACTATCACATCAGCTATACCACAGCACAAAATTGAAAGTCCAAAAGAAAAAAAATGGGTTAAATAAAATTATTTTTTTAAATGTGAAAATTATTTTGTTTACAGATGTTCCAAAATGACTAGAAAATGGAATAACTTAGACTTCATCCTGTCATATAGGACAGCTTTTTGTGATTGATCCATTTCATTGTCCTAATTCTGGAGATTATCCCATTCCATTAATTCTTCTGGAACAGTGTGAACACAATAGACATTCTTCTGGAGGCAGATGCACGTGTTTTCCAACAAAAATAGAGAATAAGATTTTTCTAGCTTTATTGCAATATCATTGACATAATATTGTAGAAGGGTTCAGACTGTAAAGAATCTGAC